GTTCTCACTACTCCAGTATGTCCAGTTGAGTGTAGTTGTACTGTGCTATTAATGTATTCTCGGAAACGAAGCAATATTCTTTCAGCAAAAGCTACTAAACTACTATGTTTTGAAACAACGGTACGTATAATATTATGGTATGCGATAACACATTAGAAAGATCAGCTCCTGAAATACCGTTCTACATGAACACGAGGTGGCTGTAGCAAACAGAATGATGCGACATGTACTACCTGACACTGCAGGTAGTCAAGTACCAGGAGCAATGTGGCGGTTCAATACCCCGTGGATTATGGTGGAGGAGTTATACATTATAAGGTACAATATTGTTCTAACCAAATTTGATACAGGATACACTTATGCACTGCAGGCACTAAAGTGCTTCACTTCGTAGCACTAAACATCTAGGAGCAAAATTCACTGCACTAGCAGAGTGTGGACCAGTGAGGTAAAATTATGTTTGTCATCCCATGTATTGATCAGCGCAGTTTGTCAAGCTGGTTTACATGGCGTTATTTGGTTACGCCTTTGTTCACAAATGCACAAATATACTGGCAGTCTTGATGCCGTCTTAATTCGATCAGCATGTGGTGCGTTGCCTCTCATGTTCCCTGTCAAGTGTGTAGCAATTCGTTCGACTGTTCAAGAATCGTTTGGGTGGATCACACAGCTGTGGGGTTTCGCAGGGTTGATTCTTTCACTTTTGCTACTGTTTCTTCTATACAAGTGAATCTAACGGTGTTTTCATCAATTACGCAGTTGGGCAGCGCAACGGGCTTATTAATTGCCAATGCGAAAGAGTTTTAGAACCACCTGCTTTACCAAGACCAACATAAATAGCCGGACCGCCTATACAGGCGAAACTGAGACGCTTTAGATGTTTTGTGGAGCATTTTTGCCCCCGAACCTACTGCCTACTTAATCTGCTCTGCTGAAATCGGCATTGCCTGCTCATGATATTATTTCGTCTAGGTAAAATGAGAAGTTTTATTTTTATCTCTGGGTGGAACATAATGGCCATTTGACTTGACCTGCTCTGAACACATTCACTTGAGCGCGTCCAGGGTGAAGAACTTATTTAGCTGAATCTGAAGGCTAAATCACATCGAATCTGTGATGTGACAGGAATACCTAACAATTCTGTCATATCCGTTGTGAAATTAGTCACTCAGGTTCCTGCATGACATCAGCAGCGATTAAGTTGCATCGCCATTAAGCACTTCGCTATAAAAATCTTGATGATGACGCTACACAGTACCTACGTGAGAAATGGGCCAGTTGTCGTTTACCTGTGGCAAACCTGTTGGCTTATTACTCAGCTGCATATGCGATAGACCCGTCTTCAAACTTGGTGTCCCTTCTGATTCTGTCGCTCCTCAGTGACCCTCATCGACTAACCGCTCAACTCTGGGTTAACTACGATTTGCAGTGACATTTTTTTTTCGCGCTTCTAGTATATGGCATTAGCTTTTTAAACGATACCTTTATGATTGTACTGTTTGGCACCGTTGAAGAACATATGAATGGTACTCTTTGTTGTAGCAGTAAATTTAATTTGACTTAATACTTCGAAGAAATCATCGAAGGAGAGACATTTACTTAAAAGTACAAAAATTGCCAAAGAAGGGGACAAAGTTTCGTTTAATTATCATAATTGGTAACAACGGTAGATAACCACACTGTCCAAGTTTATGATAGGCGGCACTGGACGAAAGGAAAACATTTTTTGGCCATTGAGATGCCAGATTCCCTTACACTTCCATCACGGGCGCTATTTGTTGTACCCTTCTTTTCATGAAATTTATGGTCAGGCATTTATCTCCGCTTTTGTGCTATCAGTTGAAAGTTGCTCATTTCAGAGGAATCGTTTGCAGCTTTGTGGTAAGTACAGAATGTAGCTGTTTGTTTCCTTTCCCCACGAAGTGATACGCCGTTGCTTGTTTAGTAGGATCAAAGGCACACCAATTAGCTGACTTCCGATTTGTATCGCAGAATTCAACCATTGGATTACGTTTTGCGTTTTGATGTTGCAGTATCTGTTTCTTATTTCGACCTTCTTCTGTGGCTTTCAAGCGTTCATTTTTAACCACGAATCGTTTCAGAATTTGTCTGCGGTCATCTGGGTTTCGTTGAATTTACGCGATCCAACTGGTTGAAGCAGATTCTCTTAAAACAAACTATCGATGGCTGCTTCACTTTTAGCGTTGATGGTAAGTCCAGCTGAAAATCTTCGTTTCCCTTTCAATTCAAAGACATTTCCTGCAAAGACTAGAGCAGGTTCTGTCCTACTGTATGTAAATTAGGCTGTAATCAGTAAGCTACATCATGATCACTATGATTGAATGGACACCGGCCGCTTTTATCTTCCTTTTACAAATACACGTACATTTTCAATTTTAATTTATGGCTTATGTTTTGTAATGAATTTTAATTTGCTACTGGGTGTGTACACTTGGACAGTATGGTATGTTTCGCATATCTAGCATGATCACGCCATAGCACCATTATGTCCTACTGTTCGTAGGTATGGAGCTTGCTAATTGTTTGTCCGCTGCGGTCCGAGGTGGCGCAGCCGTCAGATAAAGCGTCGACTCGACTTATCACTGAAAGATCCCAGATTCAATCCCCGGTCTAATTACACTTTTTTCTTCGTTCCTGGGTTTATAAATATGTGCCGCTGTGTACGAAGGAATCAAGACTAAACACTGTATCACTCTGCATGCCTTATGGCTGCTGTCGACCCCTCATTTAAAATGTTGCATTCCTGTCTGATGGCATGGCTCTTCAACATTAGTTTCTTGAAAAGAAGGGCGTCAGACGTGTTTCCTGCATGAAAGTGAAAGACCAATATTCAAACGGTTGCACCCTTTGCTTCCTTTTTCCTGTCGTCTACCGGTTATACCCTAGAACGTATGGCGAATTCTTTGTTCAAAGAAATTTCGATTAAACAGAAATGTTTGCACCACACTGGCACTCGAACCTAGTTTTTATTAAGTTCAGCAAAGTACTACTTAAAATTTTGCTAACATGGAATAAATGGCCAAAGTTAGCTTTATTCACGAAATAAAATCTCGAATGATTCACCACTGATCTGATTGATATTGTTTATCTTAAATGTTTGTTTGAAGACAGAAGTAGGCTAAGTAAAGTTACGATCATTTTAATATTTCTAACTTTTATGTTTCACAGTGACTCATTATCATTTTTTAAATCTGATTTCTAGCTCGTTTCGAATCCAAGTTGTAAACCCACGTGATTTAGCATTTTTATTCTCGTATAATTATTATAGTTAATAATCTGCGATCTGAGTTATAATTAGAGAAGCATTCTTTATTAGTTCTCGAGTGTCCAATGACAGTACATACTCGGAAATGGACATGATGTGTAGGCAGCATGTACAGTTAGGCATCATGTATAGTCATCATGTATGCTATCTTCTATCTCAGTTTCTATAATGAACTTATATCTGATGGTACATCTGAATGGGGGGAATTGTAGTGGGTCAGTAGTTTGCCTTGGACTGCAAAGATGCCGGGTTCAAACCCTACTACTGGCATAAATTTTCTGGTATTAGCCGCTAATTTCCTTTAGCAAGAAAGAATGCACCACTGTGTTTCGGATTAGACAGCCAAATAACTGGTTGCATAATATATATATAACATTTTTAGCGAGCATATAATTGTTTGATTCCTATGTTAAATTTGTACTAGAATGAAAATTTTTAAGTATGTTTTTAACGTATAGTTTCGTTACAATTAGTGTGTGTTTGTGCTGGTGATTTGTCTGTACGGTGCATGATGCAGCATTTTTACAGGCGTCTGTGATCGTGACGTTACCTTCGCCGCTGCGGCAGCGTTGACTACCTACCTCAGGTTTTTAGTCAATCCAGGGAAAAAATCCGCTGGTTTTTGGGGAATTTTGGCCGATAAAGATGAATGCTTCTCGGTGCCGCTTGAAGGTCGCTTTTGGAAGCCGCCTTCTCCCATTAATTTGCCGGATGAGGCAATTTCAACTACTACGCTTGTTGGGATGGACGTTCTGGTGATGGACATGGACCACGTGAGGTTGCACTCAGTCTCTGACGTGACTTTGTATTGGTTTCTGACTGCACTGATCATTTTCATCATAGTGACGCTCAAGTTCAGGGTGAGACATAACCGTTCAAAATTGTCACCAGTAGTTGACGCGAAAAAACGATTGGTTTAAAGTGAAGCTGATTAGGGAAGATTGACGTAATTGCTCATCACTGATTCCACATTTACTTCCAAGAATTGCATTGGATATTTGTAGCTTAGCGGGTTGCCCGTGATGATTATGAATGCAAGTTATTCAGTGCTTGTCTTGCTTCGCGTGTTTATCTCATAATCGTGCAAAACTACAAATTTTTTCTAGTTCTTCCTTTATAACTGATTCCACCAAGTCAGTGAGAATGAAACTTGTTTTTTTTTTGATTATGAAATGTTCATTGGTGACAAAAATACTATCGTAAATTGACGAATTAACACTTTTATGCCTATTATTTTTCAACTGTCCACAATGTTTTGAATCCTAAAATGTGTTCATTTTCGATTCATTCATGCAAAATATTTACATAAATGTTTTTGCTAATATAATAGAAACTACGATGTCACATGTAGTTAATGTGCTTTTTTCAAACCTTCACGAAGGTATTGTTTGCTGTAATTACAGTAAGCGATATGCGTTAACTGATTGGGGTGGTTCAGTCAGTGGAGCGTCGAACTGAGTTTTGAGATGTCCCAGGTTCAAGCCCAGGTGTGGTCACTCCTTTTCTTCCTTCTGAGGCTGATAAACAAGTAGGAAGGAGAGAGTAGACTACTCGTAGTAAGTTTACCACATAGCTGTTCTAGATTCTGCCTTTAGAATAAAGCATTTCTTGCTACTGTTATGAAAATTGTGGTAAAGGCCTCACCGTTTATTTCCTGAAAAGAAGGGTGCTAGAAATGGCTTCATCATAAAAGTGTAAGAAAGATCGATATTCTGGTTGTTACAAACGTTTCTTCTTTCTTTCCTATTAAACTGCATTCTCGGCGTTTCGATTCTTTTGCCTCGATCAAGGGATTACTGTATCGTATAATGAATAATTTTTTCCCAAAGTAGATCGATCTCCACGCTGTTCATTTACGTTGCACATTTATCTCATGGCCTTCATTACGATTAATGACAGCGCTGTTGTACACAGCTCAACCATTTCTTTGGTCTTTCGCTATGCCATGCATCAACAGTGGCCTAACCGACGAAAATTGCAGAGACGCTCTTTATCAGCTTATATCAGCTTGGACAGGCTACTGAAAGCACAAGAAGCAAGGGTGATTTTCCCATTTAATTTTAGCGGGTTATCACCCTGTTGGAGATGGTAGAACCAAACTGGTTAAAATTTTCGGCATTCTTTCCGTGCTGTTTCTCCATTGTCCTTGCAGATCTGTCGTATAAGTTAGCCTCCTCATAATATTTGACTTCTATGCGTTAATGAAAAGGCCGACTTTCAGATCTGTGGTGTGCGGTAAAGTATCTTGGAGATACCTGATTACTTTGCTGCTTACCAGGTCATTGTCATCAGCATCTGAAACAGATCAGCTCTAGTAGCAGTGTTGATCATATTTGCAAAGAGTTCAAAGAAGCCGCCATTTCCATATAATTGGGTAGAGGATGAGTTTAGCCCAACTTTCTTTCGTCATGGAAAAGACTGTAGCTCTCAGATGCGATGGAATAACGCAGACGAGTATCTGCAATACTCTGACGCACTCTTAAAGGCAGCGCATCGCCGTCTCGTTCAGGTAGTTAACCATAATTGCAGACAGGACATGCAACTTTGGCTGGAGGGAAAATAAGGAAGGTCGGAATGGCGGATGACTAACGAACGATGTTCAGAAGGATGTGACAGTTGCCCGATAAGCAGTGCATTCGGTTCGTCGTTATTCAAGACGCTGTCGCCCATTGGCAGGTCAGAAAGGATGCCTCTAAAGATGGGCTCAGTGCTTCAAACAGTTACTCAACGTCTGCTCTCAAGATTGACAATTTTCGGCCGTTAACTCTCTGCTAACAATAGAGGTTATTAGCTTCACCCACTAATCTTGAAATTCTAACGGTATAGCTGCTCCTCAAGGTGAAGAAGAACTGTAGGTGGATCGAATTTCTCCAGGTTAATGGAGGAACGAGGTGGTAGAAAAGTTCCATGTTATCCTTCATCAAGCATTACCCTCAAGACGTTTCCCAGTAAAATGGAAATGTGGAGTCTGTGATTGAAGATAGTCAGGCAGTCGAGTGTTTCAGTTATTGTGGCATCAATGTACTGTCAATTCCTGGAAAACTTGTCCTATGTATATTTCGAAAGGCTGTTGAAGGAAGATTTCAGGCAAATCATATAGACTTCTGGATCGGCTACTCCTACATTAACCAAATTTTTACTCTGCATAGAGCCATTGCACAACATTGATGATTCCAGATGCTTTGGTTTGCTAGGTTTGTTGACTTTAAGGCTGTATTTGATTCACTACATCGCTGTGGAAAATCTTGGTATGATACGAAATTCTTTGAGAACATCGTTTCCATGTTGGACAAAATGTATGCAAGAACCATGTGTGCTGCAAGGACTGTAAGGTCTGAGTGATTCCCTATAAACATTATAGTTTGCCAGTGAGATGTGCTTTCGTTTTTACTGTTCAACATTGTTCTCGACTTTCTTCTCTGAAACAGTGCTTACTCTGGCAAAGGCGAAGGTCTACTTCTAGAGGGAAGACGTAGTTCAAGGTAACCGGTTAGATATCTCACTCACCTGAATTATACTGATGATTTTGTTTTGGTGAGTAGTAGGCGTAGAGGGCTCTATCACCTGACCACTCCGTATTCAACACAGCGGCGAAATCCCCCTTTTCTTTAATGCCCAGAAATCAGAACTTATGAGCAATCCACCCAATATGGCTGATCTACAAGTGAAACAGGAAGATGAAGCGTTTCAGGTTGACTTGAAGGTTGGC